TCTGTGCATTCATTCCAGGTCCAAAAATCCATTAGAATCCTTACTGCCTTTAGGAATATAATCTCCTATCACGTCTCCCTAACATGAATGTAATTGAGTACATTTGTCTTGCAGTTATATTTAAGAAATACATTATGCTGTATGCTCAAGAGAATTTTTGTCTTTTTAAACATAGGGTTTTATCATTGTTGCTACTGAGCTACTAGAAAGCCTTCTATTACTGCAGTGATGTGGGTATATGAGAACACACAGGATGCAAACAAGGACAGAAGCAGTTGTAAGAAGTTTCCTTTCAGTTTCTCAACAGCTTCCACATGAAAAAAAAAGCCACTTGTAACTAGCATCTGTTGAACACAGCAGGGTTTTCCAAGTTGATTTCTTCTATGAAAACATAACACAGCTTATTTTCAGTACCATCCCTGGATGCACAATTACAACTGTTGAAGGTTTTTCTTGCAGCTGCTCCAAGAACTATTCTTCTCAGAAGTTCCCATTCAGGAGATCAGGGCTCAGCCACACAGTCAGCATTTTCCAAATGAAGTTGCACAAGGTCCAAGTACAGCAGCTTTACAACCTTAAACAACGAGACTGTCCCACCAAGGACATGAGCACTGTCATCCAAGCACACACTTGATGTTCTTCCATCAAGCTAACGATCACATCGGCTAAACCAGTGTATTTTGTGTGTAAGTGTAGCACTCTAACTCCTTTCACCTAAGACTTTCTCTATTTTAAGGCTAGTATTAGTAGGGGGAGCCTTGAGGAATTCTGAAGTTTTCTTACATAATCTCAGAGGAGATGTCAAAGAGATCTCTGCACTCACCTCTCTTACTGCCCTGCAGGATGAGACTCAGAGCTCCAGTCTCTCCTCAGAAACATTAAGGGTGATACTTTGCTAAAAGCACCATCTCAATACATTCAATCTCCATGGAAATGAAGCAGAAGAACCTAACATCCTATCAGCACCCTCACATCACACACTTTTACTGGTTAAAAAACAAGATTGCATTTGTTTCTTATAGTTAAACTCCCTATGGTTACTTAAGGAGAGTTACTCACATAGCCTGTTTTGTTCAAATTGGTGCGTTTTTTATTTGTTTGTAAAATCAACTATTCCTGCAAAAGGAACTTTTTTCAAGTTTAAAGAAAAAAAAAAACTTTCCTAAGAGGCAATTTTAAAGCCCATCATGGACAAAAAATATAACTACCACAGCACACGCTGATCGGTGACACAAATCCGTGGATTTCTATCGGCAAACCCTACACTGCTTTCAAAGTCGTACGAAAGAAAGCACCAAAGCCTGAAGAAGCAGCGGCAGCCTGCAGTCGTGCAGTCAGAACTTTTACTGTGTAAGGCGACAAACCCAACGAAAGTGGCAGCAGAACCGAACGGCAAGGACAAGGCTCAGCAGCAGCGGGCAGGCTCACGGAGACGCGCACGAGCTCGGCAGCCCCGCACGTCCCGCGCCGCCCGGCACCGTCTGCTGGCTCTCCCCGCGGGACGGGCGGCCGGCGGAAGCAGCGAGCATTGCGAGCCGCGAGCACCTCGGCCCGGCAGGTACGGCCCACCCACCGCGCGGGGCTGGGCTGGGCTGGGCTGGGCTAGGCTGGGCTGGGCCCGTCCGTCCGTCCACCCACCCACCCCTCTAGGCACACGCCGGGCGCCCCGCGCCGCTCCCCCCGCGCCAGCCCTGCGGCCGCGGCCGTACCTGCGCCGACGCGGGGCTCCTTATCCCGGGCGGCGCCCGCTCGGCGCCCGCGGCCCGACGCCCGCAGGAGAGGCTCTTCCTCTCCATCCCCCTCGGGCCCCGAGTCCTCCTCACCCTCCTCTTCCTCCTCCGGCCCCGGCTCCCCGCACAGCCTCACGGCCCCGCCGGGAGCGGCTCTCCCCGCGGACGGCCCCGCCCGAAGCGCCGGCTCCGACAGGAGCAGCAGCTGCTCGTCGGGCTCCTCGGAACCCGACTCCATAGGCGGCAGCGGCCAGGAGCCGAGCGCGGGGCGAGGAGGCGCCGCCGGGCGAACGCGGAGTCAGGCGCCCCCACCGCAGCCCATGGCGCTCTCAGTGCCGGCGCTACGGCGGCGGGCCCGTCACGGCTCCGCGCATGCGCCGGCGGCCCGCCCTGCGCTGCTACCTGCCTTAAAGGAGCCGCGTTCCGAGCGCCGCGCTGCCGTCCCGTCCGTCCCGCCCTGCGTCGTCCGGACGCATTCACGCCGTGGAGGGCAGTGTGCGTGCAGCGTGACTACTCCCTGCTCCTCCGAGCGGCCAGACATCCACCCTCGAAGTATTCTCGTTGCTGGGACTCAACAAAACATCCCCGTAAAGCCCTGAGTTTCTCAGTCTGAGGCTGGTTTGTCTCTTGGCCACGTTCCGGGTTCCCTCCTACCTTGCACTTTATGAAATGTTCTACTCAGTACACTGTCATTTCCAAAAGCAAGCAAGCAGAAAAACAGCGAACAAAAACAGTACGAATCTACTCCAACTGCTTCCATGTTCTCACAGCCATGGTTGTGTTAACAGAAATAAGGGAAACAACCAAACCCCAACACAGCGCATCACACCGTGACTAGGATGCATCCTCCCACATTTCTCTCTGGGGACAGGTTTTGCTGGCACAGAGCTCAGAGGTGTTGGTGAAAAACAGGAGAAAGACATGGAGCACATGCACAGAACTGAAGTTCTGGATTGTGCTGAGAGAGGGTCAGTTCTCAGCTCACACAGTAATTGCATGCCTTTATTATTCATTATTCTCATAATTATTTGCACCACAACAATTCGTTGTGTACGTCGCCTGCATCATGGAAAGAAAATAACTTTGCTTGGTTTCTAACAAAATAAAACCTTGCAGCAGTATGTTTGCTTTGTCTCAGGTTACCTCTCAGCAGTGGACTTTGGAATGCAATGCCATTTACTTGTGTAACTATTGATATCTGCCACATCTGATAAAATCCACTCACAGTGCTTTTCTGTTTCCATTTCTTTTAATAAAAAGTGAACAAACAATTGTGATCCCAATGTTGGCTAGGCTTTTATGCCTAGCCAACAGGTACAGAAGAGCTATAACAGAGGATGTAATTTTCAGTGCAGACAATGACACCGATTAGCTGCTGTCTGAAGCAAGCACACGGGTCAGAATTCAAGGGGAGAAGGCTCACGTTTTGCCCAGCAGATCACTGAGTGCCTTTCCCTTTAGCTGCACTAGTTGGGAGTGAGCTGAAAACACTGCTGTGCGGTTTGTCTCTGGGCTTTTCAAGGATATGAACATTAATTCTTCTGAAAAAGTAAAACAAGAAACCCATGAGCTATTTGTTCTGTCACAGGGAACGATTCACATGAGCTGTGGTGTGTGTGATCACCATCAGTTCTTACTTTTGGTATTCTGCAGTAAGAACTCTGTAGCTTGCTGCTGGTTTGATAACGAGAAGCCTTCACACTGCTTCAGTCTTTAAGCAGTTCAGCCTGTAATTAAACTAAATGCACATCGCAGAACAGTTACTACAAATGATTAATTTTAATTCCAAGTAGCTAATACTCTCCGTTAGCTACCTGGTCTGAAGTTACTAAAGTATGCAAGTAAGTCTGATTACAGACTCACTTACTAAACCCTCACAAAATGGCCTGGGGTGAAGAGGACCACAATGATCATCCAGTTCCAACCCCCTGCTATGTGCAGCGTCGCCAATCACCAGACCAGGCTGCCCAGAGCCACATCCAGCCTGGCCTTGAAAGCCTGCAGGGATGGGGCATCCACAACCTTGGGCAACCTGTTCTAGTGCATCACCACCCTCTGTGTGAAAAACTTCCTCCTGATACCCACCCTAAACCTCCTCTGCCTCAGTTTAAAACCATTCCCCCTTGTCCTATCACTTCCACCCTTGTAAACAGCCATTCCCCCTCCTGTTTATACTCTCTTCAAGTATTTGGAAGGCCACAGTGAGGTCTCCCCAGAGCTTTCTCCAAGTAAACAAGCCCAGTTCCCTCAACCTTTCAACCTCTTGATCCATTTCCCACCTTCGTCTCTCATTCTCGCCCGCACCGTGCCCTCTCCGCTCGCATCCACGCTCGCACTCCCCCCAAACACGGGACGCGAAGCAGAGAATGGAACCCGCGCAGCAGGGCGCGCTTTCAGCTCTCCCTGAGCGCCCTCTCGCGATGCGCCGAAGTAACGAGCTGAGTGGTTCTGCCTTTCCCAGCGGCAGCGACAGAACGCCTGGACGCAGCGATTTGCAAAGCTCCTTTGGTTCAAAAAGGTGAAAAACTGGGTTAACTGCAGTCCGTCTGCCAACAGATCTAGCCGGTGTGCAGGACTGCTCCGCCAAATCACCCCTCACATCTCATCAGGCCAGCGACACCTACGGAACGAGTCCGTGGCTGTTCGCGCGTTATTCAGCCTTGAAACCGCGCCAGAGAAAGATCGGACAAGATCTCAGAACCAAATCCGACCAGGCGTGGGCCGGTTAGGACAGAGCAGCGGAACAGAGGCACCGCGTGCTGCACGCGCCTGCTCACGCTCAGCTCTCCGTCCCTGTAGTAGCGCTACAGGCAGGCTCGGTACCACCGCCACGCGGCCGCCCACCGCAGCCCTGCCGCCCCCCTCCCCCAGCCCGGGCTGAGCGGCGGCGGGCAGAGGCCGCGCGCAGCCTCCACGAGGGCGTGCAGGCGGGACTCCGCGCGGCGCACGCGCAGCACCTGCCCCGCACGGCCGCGGCGGGAAGCGGACGGCAGAACCGCCCGCACGGCCCCGCGCTGCGGAGAGCGGCCCGCGGCGCGCTCGCCGGCCCTCGGCCATGAACGCGGAGAACTTCGCTTCCAGCGAGCGGCTGGTGACCGCCGCCTACGTGCGCCAGGGGGCGCAGGGCCGCCGCGGGCACGAGCTGCTCCTGCGGGCGCTGCTGGAGCAGGTAACGGGCCCCGCGGGGGGCGGCTCGCAGAGCGGGGCGGCGATTCCTCCGTCCCCGCGGCCCGAGGCGGCCCGCCGCCCTGCGGGGATTTCCGCCGCCCACGGCTCTGCTCGCTGCGGCCCTTCGTACCCCGCTGCGGTTGGGTTCCTTTTGTCGTCGCGAGTTAAGCGACCTCTGCCCCGCTGAGTTGCAATAGCGGTGCTGTGCGCGCTTTGGGCGGCTTTCCGCTGGGGATCCGCTTTGCGGTAGGCAGAGGCGAGCGTGGCTCTTAGAGCAGAGCGCTGGAAGGAGTGCGTCTGTTGCAGTTGCTGACAAATCTGTCTGCAGCTTCCTGACATGCCGGGTAATAACTGCAAAGGAAAACACGCAGGTGTGAAGATGTGTTGTAACTGTTACTATTCATAATGTTTTGGATTCTGTAATATCCCAGTTCTCTGCACCCGGTTTTACCCGCCGAGTTTCTGTAGTATTACACTTCTGTTTTGAGAATACATCACATAATCCACAGCGTTACAGCTTGTGAACAAAACCTATGTGCTGCAGTGGCTTGGTGTATGCCGTACAGAGCTCTTGAGAGTGAGAAGTACTCAATATCATGGTACGCCAGCGTAATTGCATTGAATGTATGGCAAAGTCATTATTTAACTTCCGGTTTCAGCATCTAAGAGCTGCATCAGTTGAATAAGTTGTGTTTGTTCTTAATTTCCAAGTTTATGAATTATCTTTCTGTATTCTGAATATGAAGGGAAAGTGCCCTGAAGATGGATGGGATGAAAGCACCATTGAACTCTTCCTTCATGAACTTGCCATAATGGACAGCAATAACTTTCTGGGCAACTGCGGTGTGGGAGAGAGGGAAGGCAGAGTGGCGTCAGGACTTGTTGCCCGAAGGCACTATAGGTACAAGTTTTATTGGCTATTTGAATTATTCGGTTTTATTACTGATGATTTTGAAGTGCTTATGCTAATTGTGAATTAGTTATCTGAGACCTGGGTAGCATTTGAAGAAAAAAAGAATGATGCAATATTGAAGCCATCTAATTTTCTGTATTAAGTTTTCATTAATAACTCATTGGGCAGTCTTGAATGTAACAAAAATATTCGGTGGCTGTATGTCCTGTAAAACTAGTACAAGCCTAAGATGCCAAATTGACTGCAAGCAAGGAGAAGTCTTTGTGTTTTAAGATAATCCATACATTACTTGCTTTTTTTAATACTGTACAGTTTTTTTTAATTAGTGCATCAATCAAAACTACTGAATTGTAGATGTAAAGTACTGAACATCCCCAGTGAACGGCTATTTGGTTTTTTTTATATTCGTTACTATGTTTATAATGTGAAAAGTTGATAGGCATGTAAAAACTCAGTCTATATAAAATTTATTTTATATGAAGTGAGCTGAATTATGAAGACAAAAGGAGCTATTAATGGCTCAAAGCCCTTGCTTTGGAAGGGCTATAGCAGGTACTTTGGAAGCTATAACTAGAGGCTCTGCATTAATGTCATTATGAAGATCAGCTTTTTGCACAGTGTTCTGTGCTGAGTGGCTTTGCAGTTTCATCCATCATGAATGAAACTGAGTGAAATTTCTTGGTGTATTTCTCCTTGAAATAGTAGCACGAAAGCTTATTAGAGACGAGAATTTTAGTGAGCTTTACCATATGAAAACTGAACTACTTAGGCTTAATGTCTTTCAGAAGCCCCAAGTACCATGAAAAATTAATGAAGAAAACCACTAACACATCAGTTTGGACTTCCTGTTTTCTGTTCTGCTCTCTAGTCTCAGATTTGTGAGGTGTGGAAGGCAGAGTTGCGCTGAGGAGAGTGCCCAAGTAATTGCTGGTGTTGCTGGAGAGGGCATGCCCAGCTTCTGGCCATAGTGAGCCTGGGCTGTCATTTAGCTGCTGTTGATCTCAGGTAGCTCTGTCACCTGACATCTCATCTTCACCTGAGAGTCAGCAAGAACAAGGAAAAGTTTAGAGGCTTTCATCCATGCACTGATTGCTGAAATGTTTTGCCTAGGAGCTTTGGGAGTGGGAAAGGTAGCAGGAGGTTGTTCTGAAGCAGTATTCTACGCTATGCTCTGCTGTAGGCAACTGACTTTTGTTCTTTGGGTTTCTGTGTCTGGACATACCTGCATTTGTAATGCTAATTCAGTAGGCATTGAGACGTTGCTGGGGTGCACTTAAAAGTAAGCCTGGCAGGTGCTCACGCTGTTGCTGTATTGGATCTTTTTCTTGAAGTTTTTTATTTGCTTTATGGAATATTGTTTGTCTATTGCTCAAAACAAAACAAAAAAATTTCATCCTAATATACGTAGATGGTTGCAGTGGAGTTCATGAGAGTGCATTGGATACAAAATCTTCTACAGTTGTTTATCAAATTAAATTCTTTCCAGTAGCAAGAATTATTGCTTTGCAGCATGACAAATCTTGATGTGTGTTTTCAACCTTTTTTGTTCAGGTTGATCCATGGAATTGGAAGATCAGGAGATATTTCTGCAGTCCAGCCTAAAGCTGCAGGGTCTAGCCTTTTGAACAAGCTTACTAATTCAGTTGTTCTGGATATTATAAAGCAGGCTGGTAGGTGTACATCTGAAAATCTCTCTTTTTTGGCAAAATGTCATGTGTTCTTCATGTTAATTTCTGACTTACTTTTTCATGTGCAGGTGTCCGGACGGTGACCAATTGCTTCGTGGTTCCTATGGCAACTGGCATGAGTCTAACTCTGTGTTTTTTAACATTGCGGCACAAGAGACCAAAGGCAAAATACATTATTTGGCCACGTATAGACCAGAAATCTTGCTTTAAATCGATGATTACTGCAGGTAACAGGGGGATGACTGGTTGCATGGTGTGCTTTTCTAACAGATACAAAACTTTATCTTTCAGAGTGAATTAATATGCTTGGAATCATATCCAGAAAAGGTCTGATGTATTGTAGTTGTAAGTGCTTTATTTCTACACATCTGATTTCTAACACGAAATCAGATGTATTTTCCTATTGCCTTATAGAATGTGGGAGTATGCTGAAGTAGGGAGATGTATATAGTATTGTGGTTTCTAGCAAAGAGCACAATACTAAGTAAATTAGAGTTCATTTTTTAGTTAGATGCCTAATTTGCTTTCCTGAGAATGATGCCAATCTTTGGTTTGTGGTTCAAATCCCTTCTAAAATTTATTCAAAAAATAAAAGGTGTCTTTGAAATTGGAATCAGAAGGTGACAAGCTGACTGCCATGGTGTTTTACTTTGGAACGTGGCAAGTGTTAGCTGCCCCATTTGTTTTTAATCTTGGTGTGTCAGTGCTCAGTCAGGTGCCTTTCTTTGTTCAAACCTTATTTCCTTCTCAAAAGAAATTCCCTGTCTACCAGACTGTAAATAACTAAAGATAGAAGTCCATCACTTCTCCAAAGCTGTCCCCTCCTGCCGACAGACCCATGGAATCAAGGAAATGGCAAGTAGGGGATATGTGCATGAACTGAAAAAGGGTCATACCTGAGCAAGCGGTGGCATAGATTCTCGTCCTAGTTCCTAGGAAACATTTCATTTCAAGGCCAGGTTGGATGGGGCCCTGGGCAAGCTGATCTACTGCCCTCTGATTTAGTGGCTGACAACCCTGCCTGCAGTGGGACTGTTGGAACTAGGTGATCTTTGAGTTCCCTTCCAAACCAAGCCATACTATGATTCTGGTTTTTGATATAAAAGATTCATTGGATAAAAACATCTAAACAGAGGCAATTCTGTGCTAACGTGTCTATATTATTAAACTAAGTCTGAAATTATCTGTTAAAAGAAAAAATGTACATTTTTGGCTGTATGGTAGAAATGAAAAGCCCGCAATTAGTTGGAGATTCATTGATGTACATTTGGATCTTGTTTTTGTTAGGTTTTGAGCCTGTGGTGATAGAGAATGTATTAGAAGGTGATGAGCTACGGACAGATATTGAAGCAGTGGAGGCTAAAATCAAAACTCTTGGTGCTGAAAATATTCTTTGTGTGCATTCTACAACATCTTGCTTTGCTCCAAGGGTACCTGATAGGTAAGTAGACTTCATAAGAAGTACGTTATTTGTTGTCAGTGAAAAAACCTACATGTTTTGAATGCTCAGTTACTGCCAATAAGTGAAGTGCATCTAGTGAAGATGCATCAGTCCCTGTGTTTAAGGGTGATGGCATGTTGTGAAACAATGCTCCAAATGTTTCCAGAAAAATGTATTAGGAAAATGAGAATGATAGAGAAGGTCTTCTTTCTCCCTTATGAATGAAGGTTAATAATGGTCACTTTGGCTGAAATTAATGCCACTTTGACAGAGGTTTCTTAAGGGATTTTGTGGAAGTAGTAAGAGTAGAATCTCATAGAAATGTGGTCCAGAAGGTATAGTTCCAGAGCTAATGCCAGATGTTAATATTCATCCTCCCTTTTCTACTCTTTTCTTCTAGCTAATGATGAATTTTCCTAGGCTAATACAACTGCTAAGAAAAACAACCTATCGCCAACATTTAAAATCATTGCTTGAATTGCTTTTTCCTGCATTATGGTGATGTCTGTAGCATTACTAAAGATGTACTGATGTGGGGAAACCCTTGAAAGCATGTAGGGCAGTGCTATGAGAGTATAACATAAGATTTGCTCTACTGTCATGTATCTGGGTTTGAACATTTACATTTATAGCCTGATTGCCTACAACTTAAAATTTCCAGCTGTTAAATCACCATTAAAAGAAACCTAAACTACCTTGCATTCTTTCTTCCTATTGTGTGTCCATATACATAACTTCTGTAGTTGCTGCAAATGTGTCAGTTCAAGCACTTTCTGAAGCAGAGATGAGCACTGCAATTAGGAGATGAGAAACAGAATATTTGAGACATTATTTCTGCACATAAATTAGTTCTAAAATATTTGAAAAACAGTATTTATCATAGATTTAGCCTAGTTGCTAGAGGGAAGTTAAAAGCAAATAATTCTGTCGGAATGTTGTTTGAAGTTGAGTTCCAAATTTATTGGCTACCTTAAATCAAAGCTATCAAAATTGAATGGTCTATTTTATAGCTTTGGTAAATGAATCTTTTCCTTATCTGCCTCCTTTTTTTTGACATGCAATTGTTTTGTTCTCTGCAACTAAGAGATGAAATATTAGGTAGTGGCTCTGTGTTATGATATACCACAGATATAAGAGAATTTGAATGCACTTTCTATTTAAAGGATACTGTCAACTACTGAAGGCCATAACATCCATCTTCCTACAGGAAGGAGAATAAAGCATTTCTGGAGGATATCATTTTTATGTGTCTGCTTTTAAACAATTTACATTGTTAAGGCTTTGTTTAGTTGTGATGGTGATGTTTTAAAATTTTATGTGAGTTAGGATTGTTGAATGATTAGGATAAGACCTATAGCTCCTTCGAAGCCTTATGAGACTTTATGGATAAAATGTACTACTGTATAAATCCGCTTATTAGAAAGACTTCAGTCTTCTGTCTTCTACCTGTTGCTACAAGCTGTCTCTAGAGGCACTGTATTCAAAAGAGAGCCGAAGGCAAGAGGTGACTTTTTGGTTAATTAATGGACTTAATAGAATTCTCCACTTTGTCACTTTCATTGGTATTAGAAGAAAGACCAAAGTTGTTGTTTTTTATGAACTTTCACAGACAGGAGAGAAAGAAAGGACATAGAGAAATATTTCGCCATTTATGCTATTTGTGACTTTTGGGAACTTGAGTAGTAACCAACTTGCTTTTATGCTTTATTTTTCTGATATGACTAGCTGCTCTTATTGGTTTAATTTAAGCTTTGGAAGCATACAAGCCAGTGTGCTTTATTGTTTGCTTCCCATCCAGAATCACATATTCTTTTCAAACTGTAGCACTCCTGTCCTTTATTGTAGCATGGATCAATTATTCAAAGAAATATTTGTAGAAAAAGTGCTTTTTCTGTTTTCTGGATCTGTAGCAGCTAGCGTATTGCTTTGCTGGGACTCAGCAGGTGAGAAAGATGATCAGCCATACAGAGTAGTAGAGAACCCTCTGTTTCTAGATTGGGAATTTCTCTACCTGCACTTGGAAAAAAACAACGACATATAAGAGTGGAAACTGTTTTATTTGAGTCTTGTTGGAAGGTGAGGAATGAGTCTGAGTGAGCAAGACCAGCAAATCAAAGGGCAAAAACGTTGCCTGGTGTAATGTTTCCTGTTAACTCAGGGTTCAGAATGTTGGTAAATGAGAAAAATTACAGGACATGCAGTTCCTGCTGAATATCTTGACTGTTGAAGATGAATGCATGCATTACACTACGAGTGTTACCTAGCCAAACTTGTGCTTTACATACCTGTAATTTCTTTAGGAATAGTACTGTGATGATGTTGTTTTCCTAGGGATTGAGGTTTGGAAAATTCAATCTGAGGTTTGTAGCTGAGTTTTGCATTACGAAAGAACACAAGGCAATATAATGGAAATAGAATACAAGAGAATGTCACCTCTTGTCACATTTTATATGGATGTCAGTAAATTACCGTGAGAGGCTGCACAAAAATAGACAGGGGAAAAATGCATTGAAGACTTGAATTTTTCTGGTACTTTTTAAAAATAGTCTTTATAATCACTTCAAATTATTAAGTATTTATTTTTGAAATGGATTTTCTTTTTAAAAGATATTCGCAAGTTTGTTAGAAATCAAGGTATTAAAAAAATAAGAGCGTGATTGGAGTGCTTTGGAAAGGTTACTAACAACATGTGTGCTTAAAAAGCTGAAGACTCTCAATGGAAATGACCTTTGCATTCAATTAAATCTTAGCTTCACTGAGAAATAATTCAAATTGGCCTTTCTGTAATTCCAGGAATTTCTAAAGGCAGATGAAAATTTTCCTTTTTTTTTTTTTCCTGAGCAAACAGTTAAATGAAGTTTTAATGTTTTGATCTCCACATCCAGTCCTTTTCAAGGGTATCATTTTAAGGGTATCCAGCCCTTTTGAAGAACTTTTTTTCTGTTGCTCAGTTGAGCTGAACTATGCAAGTGAGATTTCAGCCAAAGGGCTGAAGCACTGGTTCTTAGGGGAAAAAAAGATAGAAACCTGTAAAGGCTTCCTCTTTTATGAAGTTCTCAGTTCCTCAAGCACATCTTGAAACTTCCATCAAACTGTTTTCAGGTTGAATGCTAAAAGAAAAGGACAATGTATGAATAGCTGCAATTCTGTTAATTATCACTAAAGTAGGAAAATATCTGAAAGGATGATTTGAGATCTGGGTACTGGGTTCTGGACAAAACTTTCAGCGAAGCATGAGAAATCTCAGCCTAGTTCAACCATTTGTAATATATGTAAAAGTTAATAGAACTTCCTTCTTAGCCTTTGTTGCTAAAGGTGATTACTGCTGCCACGAGGCAGTAAACAAGAAAGTTTATTTCCTCTTTCTGACCTTCTTGTAGACCTTTCAGTCTTTTAATGGTCTGATTGATAACATGGATTACAGTGATTAGTATTTCTCTAAATTACAATTTTATGCTCATAGGCTGGAGGAATTGGCTAAAATTTGTGCTAATTATGACATTCCCCATATTGTCAACAATGCATATGGAGTTCAATCTTCAAAATGTATGCATCTTATCCAGCAGGTAGGAACTGTGCATTTCAAATATATATATATATATATATATTCTTAACAAGCATGAGAAAACATCTAATCATAGACAATGCTAGCAAGTTTTACCATGTGTCACAGCTTGGAAATTAATCCCACACATATCCTATAATTGAACTACTTTCTGAGAATGCGGAGCAGAAGGAAATAATACTTCATATGTTTGTTGTTTCTATTGTTGGCTTTTTATATAATCAAGTTTGTTTAGGCTTCGTTTATGTTCAGCTGTCTTTTATAATGGAGAGATACCCTTATTAATCTTTCTTAAAATACTTCATAAAATTATTGACATAATGACCTACTATCATGAAATAATTGGTTGTACTTGAATGGGAATTAAGGCTTCAGCAGAACGAGTTACTGATTTTCAAATTTTCTTCCATTTCTAAATTCTCCAAATCACATGTTTGATTGGCACCATCCTGAAGGCACATGGTGGTACAGCAGCACTGTGTAAGCGTTGTCACTTGTCAGTATTGTATCTCTGTATCACAGAGAACACCTGAAAAAACTGTTGAATTCAATGTTGTATTCAAAACAGGTTCAATTTCTTCTTGCTGTTTTTGCAAAGCAAATTGTTTAATACCTGAGATCAGCCACAAAGCATACAATGCCTGCATTTTTGCTCATTGCAAATTCATGCAATGTTTCTTTGATATTTCTCTGTTCTCTCTGTTGCCTGTGTATTTTAACAGGATCCAGGGAATGCTGAACTATTATGTATATGCCGATAATTTTTTTTCTGATTAAGAAGACACTGTTATTAAATGAGCAAAGAGCAGCTGGATCTTGTTAGCATTTCTAAATTTATCTTGAGAGACTGAAGGAATGTGACAGAAGTTGCAATGGCGTGTGAAATAGAACACTGTATATGTTTGATTTGTGATGATACATGGGCACTGCATTTAACTTGCTTAATTGTAGTGAACTTCTAACATGAAGGAGGCTGTGGGATTGCTGAGTTTTGCTGCATATTATGTCATATCTGATGATTTTCTCAGGCTGCAAAGCCACGAATAGAACTGTTCATGTTTCTGTTTCTGTGTTTTTCCCTAGCTTCTTGGTAGATGGTTTGTTTTCTCTTTTCGGGTTCTGGGAATGTATACATTTGAGCTGTCATTTATTTACAAGAATTTATTTCCTCTGATAGAAAATGTACAGTCCATGTGGAAGTAGTTACTAATGAAATCAAATGTATACCTGTCCCCCATGCACTGTCATAGTAAAACACAGAAATGACTTTTAGTTTTATCTGCCTTTTTCACTCTTTTTGTCACAGATGTTAGCTCTGCTTCTGTTCCTTGATTTTAATACAAAGTTCTTATGTATGTAGTTGAATACTCTTTAGTATGTATGATCGTTAATAGACTTTCCAGCTTCTGTTATGATGCATGCTTCTTAATTGCACAGTTCATTGATACTGTATTCCTAAAACTGAAGTTGCACTGCAGAATCACCGTGGTTTTTTTTTCCTAATTGCTAAATGTTAGGGGCATTTTGTTTTCCAGGAAGAGGGGAAGTCTTTTGAGGAAGTTACCTGGATCTTAATTTTGCAGGCAGCATTATATGAAGGAACGCTGTCACAGTCCATTTGTTTTGATGCAGATTACGTGTATATGTCAAAAAAGGTAGTTTTGTTTCCTGGTGAGGCATTAACCTGTAGCCTTTTACTGCCAGAATCTGTGGCACGTTTTGAATTGTACAGTGTTAACTGTGTAATTCCCATTCAATTCCAAGAGAATTTTTTTGATAGTTGCTGCAAATGAGCTGGACTTTTGAAGACATGCAGGAACTAAAACCAATATTTTAAATCATAGGAAATGAAGGTTGCTGAAGATGGTGTGTTAGCAGACAGCAAAAAAATTGTAAGCAATGCTAAGCAAAGGTAGTGCTGTGATTTAAAATTCTCCATCACAAATAAAATATCTGAGAGAGTTTTAGGAATTATATTCGTTTTATTGCTGGATTATGGGTAATTATTATGCTTTCCCATGTTTTTTTCCTAATACGTGCTGTGGATTTTTTTTTCCTTTTGATAAAGGGTGCTCGAGTAGGCAGAATAGATGCTTTTGTTCAGAGCCTGGACAAAAATTTTATGGTTCCAGTAGGTGGTGCTATCATTGCTGGCTTCAATGAGTCCTTCATTCAGGAGATCAGCAAAATGTATCCAGGTAAGTAGCTCACAAATTGATTTCATCCATACAAAATAAGAGTAGAAAATTTGATTATCAACTTTCTTTCGTATAATTTTTGTTTGTTTTTGTTGTTTCAGAAACTTAACATGTACCTTTTGTTTTGTTTTGCTTTGCTTTTTCAGGAAGAGCTTCTGCATCTCCTTCTTTAGATGTCCTCATTACACTTCTGTCTCTAGGTGCCAGTGGCTACAAACAGTTACTGAAAGAGAGAAAGGTAAACTTTTTGAGAAGCAGCGTTTTCTTGGATTCAGCTCTTAAAGTGTTGTTGCAAAACTGCTTCATGTAGTAAATCCTGTTTCTGTCTTGAAAACCGTTAAATTTCTTTGGAGTTTACAGCTCTTAATCTGGAAAGGCAATATGATACAAATTGAGCAAATAATGTTCGTGCATGAGTTTGATTTCCTTCTTGTATTTCAAATGAGAGATTTTACGTCAGCTTAACTATCTCATACAGTATTCATATTTATTGTTCAAGAGTACGACTGATGCAATAGAATTTTGTCCAGTACCATCTGAGAAGTGCTGTGCTGTGTAATCGCAGTGCTCATCCCAGTGCTCTTTGCTCATCTTCATTTGGCCATATTATGCTGTTGTGCTATGGTAGTGTTAAATGCTGTGTACCGTATTCTCAAGAAGATCACAGTTTCTGATTCTGTGTTCTGGGCCACAAAAAGATTAAAAGATTGTCATTTTAGGCATCCATCTAGATACTGAGCTAGGTTTCTTTTCTGTCTCTCCCATGCATGTTCTGTGTTGTATATAACCAAGTTTTCAAAATATTAAGTGTTCTAAAATTGGAACTTTACATCTTGAGTCATCTTCAGTTCTGGATGTACTAAAAGGCTTGTTTTTGCTATCTGTAAGCTTTAATGCAGAGAATTCTTTTTATAGAATGTTTTAGGTAAGGAAATGTTGTGCATTAAGTACTGTAAATTAATAGTTTTAAATCATGAGCGATTTGTTACATACCTTAATTTATTTAGGAAATATGTTTCATTTGTCTCCTGTTGGCAGCTTGCTGCTGCTTCCGATATCTGAGCAGGATGATAGTGCTGTGTGCCATGACTTGTTTCTAGTTCCTTGTACTGGCATGCGGAAATTCTGTACTGGAATTGAGACCCCATAGGAGTGGCTACAATATGAGAAGAACAGCAGGGTTGACTTTCAAAGGCTATGATGTGATCTGTGCAAGCTATGTGAAAACATGGTTTGTGAAAGGCTGAAAGCAGTCACTCTTCTACCAGTAGTGGAATGTAGTTTCTAACGTTTTGTTCTGAACCAGTGTATTATCACAATATGTGGGTTTGTATCTTCATTTAAAGCAAATTTATATATTTTTCCCCTCTTCTTCTCATCTCCAGAAAAACTTCAAGTGACTTTATCATGTTTTTTGCAAAACTGATTTTGATGTTAGACTTACACTTGCATCAGATATGTAATGAGCAGTATAATTATTGCCACCTTATGAATAATAAATTACTTGTAAGTAAACTGTCTTAATGAATAGCTGCATAATATTTTAAATCATATCATTTTCTTAGAAGTAGAATTCTAAAGTGAATAAAGCATTACATTTTTACAACTTCAGGCCTGTTTTATTTCAACATGAGTATACTCTATAAACATAGCCTTATATATGGCATAAATATTTTTCTTTTATTGGATTTGCTGTAGAAATAGAAACCTTTTTTTGCTTAAATGTGTTTGTTCCTGAATTGTAAAAATGTAATAATGATGGTTTATTGCCTGTGCTCTGTGAAGGCAGAGGCAGAGCTATTAGGCTCTCAGCAGGAGCTATTTATAGGTTGACACTGAGTACTCCTTTCTATATTGGTTCAGTTATACCTACTCACACAAAGTCAGCTATAAAAAACTTCCAGTATTTCTTTCTCTTTTTACACTTATTCACTAGTGTTATTTCAGGTTACTTGAGTTCAAGCCAGAAAAACCAGAATATCACTGAGAAGAGGTTAATCTCACACAACCAAGGGAAAGAACTAGTCATAGAATACCCTGAGTTAGAAGGGACCCACAAGGATTACCAGGTCCAACTCCTGGCTCTGTGCAGGACCACCTCAGATTCAAGCCCTTCGTCTGAGAGCATTGTCCAAACATTCCTTGAATTCCAGCTGCTGTCACCACTGCTACCAAGAGTCTGTTCCATGCCCACCACCCTCCGATGAGTAACCTTTTCCTAATATCCAACTTGGCCCTCCCCTGACAGAGCTGTATATTGTTCCCTCAGATCCTGTCTCTGTCACCAGAGAGTAGATAAGCACTGTCCCTCCACTCTCATCGTGAGGAGATGTCACAAAGCCTCCTGTCAGCTTCCTTTAGGCTGGACAAACTACATTATCTCATCTGCTCTTGATAGGGTCCTCTAGACACTTCACCATCTTTGTTTCCCTCCTTTGGATCCTCTTTGATAGTTGTACATCTTTGTTATATTACAGTGTGCTAACATGCACTCGGTGCTTGACGTTGAAGCTGCACCAGTGCAGAGCAGAGTGGGACAATCCCTTCCCTTTCCCAGTTGTCAGTGCTGGGACTGAAGCACCTCATGATGCTCATTGGCTCATACTCAGTTTGCTGTTAACCAGAACTTCCGGATGTGCACTGCTGCTCTCAAGCCTCTTATTTCCCTGACAGTACGTGTATCCAGAATTATCCCATTCCAGCTGCAGAATTGAGCACTTGCTGTTGACTAGTGGTGATTGCCCAACCCACTAGTCAGTCAAGATCTCTCAGAAGACCTTTCTGCCCTTGGGGATATCAGCAGCTCCTCCTAATTTAGTACTGTCTGTAAACTTAGTGTGCATTAGAGTCTTGGACACAGATCATTTATAAAAGACATTGAACTGGCCCATAGATGGAGCTCTGAGGTACCCCACTAGTAATTGGTCTCCAGCCTTCAGTAACCCCATCTACTCTAAACCTTTGAGTTCAACCCATTAGTCTGTTGTTCACTCATCATGCCATGTACTTGTCTAGCTGCATGCTGTACATTTTGTCCAGAAGAATGCTGTGAAAGACAGTATAGAAATTTCTGCTGAAATCCAAAAAGATCACATGAGATGGCTTTTCTTGGTCAACTGGATGGATAACCTTGTCATGAAAGGAAATTAAGTTTGTTAAACAGGACCTTTCTCTTTTGAACTTGCGTTGGCTGTGACCAATGGCTGCAGTCGTTCGCGTGCGTTTCAGCAACTCCCATTATGATCTTCTCCATAATTTTACCAGGCACCGAAGTGAGACTGACAGGCCTGTAATTACCAGGGTCGTCTTTCTTGCCCTTCTTGAAAATTGGAACAATATTTGCCAGCGTCCAGTTTCCTCAGATTCCCAAAGTCACTGAAAAATAATCGGGATAATATCTGCAAGTTTTTTTCAGTACCCTGGGATGAACCCCACTGGGCCCCATAGTCTTTTGTGCACCTGATTGGAGCAGCAAATCTTGTATGAGTTCAGAGTCAGCCAGGATGATGTCCCTGTCTATGGCAAGGGGTTGGACTAGATGATCTCCAAGGTCCTTTCCAACCTACTTCATCATTCTATGATTCTGTGGCACAGTCCCTCAACCCAAGGTGGGAGGAGCCGCCTCAGCCTGCCCACCTCCCAACGCTCTGTGCCAGTGCTGAGCAGTTCTTCTCTTTGGGCACCTTCCACAGGCGTCCCAGGCCCTGACAGAAAGCTTGGATATGCCCTGCTGCCTCAGGCCTGGGTAGCTGCATGATGTTTGGGCAGCTCTGTCGGGGAAGCTGAGCCAGTTCCAATGAGTGCAGAGGCTGTAGGGGATGCAGAGGACACAGCTTTCTGCTGGGTGAATTCCATTGCTGATTCAGCTCCTTGTGAGCAGATTAAAGCCTTCTTCTGAGTTGACTGTTTGAACTGGCATGGTGGCAGTTTCTCTTCGTGTCCGCTACTGCATCTGTCCCATTTTTCTCCTGCACAGGGATACTGTTTAATATAGGAAGGAGATTGTAGGAGAGAGAGGAACATGTACATGGAATGATGTTTTCTGACAGGATGGCCTTCGTGGAGTATGAGGTTGTATGCTTTGCTATAAGAGGGCATATGGGAACTGCTGGATCATGGCCTGAACCTCTGATTGATCACCTGAGACAAGCAGTAAGTCAGCCCTGGGAGCACAGCTGAAGGCAATTCACCTGTGCTGCCGGAAGGGGTGGAGCCTGGCTGCACCTCTCCTAGAGCCATTTAAGAGCTGACTGCCAGGGGGGAAGGATCTCTTCTGGAGATCCCTCCTCTGGAGTTTTGCAGTGAGCCCAGGACGTGGGTAAGCATTCTGTCTATTCTCTTTTTGTTATTATAATCTGATTTGCCAAACTCTCTTGTTTATTTCATAATTATATCATCTTTACATTCATTGATTATACAGAGGGTAAAAAGGGTGCGGTGAGTCTGAGGACTGAAGAGCAAGGGAGTAACGCACACATACTGTCTGATAACTGTGACTATATGCAATAGCATAACAAGGAAAAGATTGGAAGTAGTTTATCTCACTTGTGCTAGGTTCTCAGTATTATTTTTTTACGCATATGTCACGTTTTTAAAAGTGGCTTTCTGACTTCAGAAAGGGGTTCTAGGTCTTGTAATGCAGATGATGGCAACAGGTCCATACTCAAATTTGTTAATACTGTTGCTTTTGAAGAACTCATGTAAAAGTTAAGCTTTTGAATTGACTCCTTTGATTTTCTCAGTACCGTTTATGTTGTGTCCCATATTCTGTATTGCTAGGTCTTAAAACACTCTATTTATGTTATGTGTTTCTTTATCCAGGACTTATGTAGCAATTACAGTGACTGCACTGCATAGTATCATAAGCAGCAGACTTCAGTTAATGATCACATCAGAATTAATGGAAAGTGTGGAGTCTACATTCTGTGACAGGTTTAATATTTGTTAACTGTTTTCCAATGTGTAGGTAACTGTCCTGTTAACTCAGCTTAACTAGTTAGTATACTGGTAGTAGTGGAAAGGTAGTAGCTTCATTTTGTTTTCAGCAATTACATCTGTCAGCAGTATTTTCTTAATAAACTAATGGTCAAAATAATTCTGATCTTCTGAAATGAGATGTATCTGTATTCTGCTGTTTGTATCCTTTTGAGAGTGGTTAACTGGAGTCATTCTTACATTCCTAAAAAGTGTGAATCTGAGTCTAAAATATTTAAAACCACAACTACTGGGAGGAAATTGATTAAATTTTACAGTTTGTTAAAATACTGGTTTTACATTTCTGGCTGTGCTTAATGCACCCTCAAATGCTGTTTGCCCAGCACCCCCAAGGTCCCTTTTTGCAGAGCTACCCTCTGTCCACTCATTTCCCAGTCTGTATTTGTGACCAGTGTTACTTCCAGGTACAGAACCCAGCATTTTCCTTTGCTGAATTTCATGCTGTTAATGGTTATCCGTTGTTGTTATTACAAAGATTTCAAACTTTGTACATTTTTAAAAGTTTCCACTGTATTACGAATTCAGAACAAAATTCTTGGTATTGCAATTGAAGAGTGTCTATATATGAGGCTATGTGGGATTTGTAAGTACTCCAGATGTACACATGCATTTTCTCTGCTGTTTTTTGGCTGCATTTCAGGAAGTAAGCCTTCTGGTAACGGGGCTTCATGCTCAGCATTGCAGCCTTTTTTTGTGTGCATGAAATGGTGTGCCCAGTGTCTGATCAGGTTGCACATCAGATGCAGCTACTCTGTCTCATACATAAAGCAGAAGAGCAGCTGTGACAGTTCTGTCGTGAGCAACTACTGCAGCAGCAGCAAAGTGTCTTAAGATGAGACCAAATCAGACTCAGGTACAGCAGATGAGAGTTGTCAGTGTGTATGGAGCACAAAAGGGCTGTGAAGTTTTGTGGTTTGGTAAGTTTTTAAGGGGAAGGGGAGAATTAAGCAATGAAACATAATTGACATGTAGTGCTTGGGTTGTTCGATGCAACTTCAGCTTAACAGTTAGCTCCAAACAAGAAAGCTTCATTGGCTGTCACAGAAATGCAATTCTGTAAACTCTTATTTGTATATAATTGCTTAGGGTGCTTATAAATTGTCCACATCACAGAAATGTTTTGTAATAGGGGTTGGTTATAGATTTGACCTCACAAGAATGTTTTGTATTTCATTTTTTTTTTTTGAAAGGCCATTAATCTATTTTATAACAATCTGTAAAATAACACGAGGGCTTCCAGTGGGAAAATGCAAAATGCAGTAGCTCATAAAAATAAGTTTTTGAATGTGTGCAGTCAAACACATAAAATGTGCACTTGGATTCTTTTTTTTTTTTCCCCCCATCTTTCTATTATTTCCTGTTCTGCCAAATTGCTGCATTTGTGAAGGCTGATCTAGTAACCTAAGTATTTTATTTAATATGTTTGTACAGTGGGTCACTGGTTGTAACAACTTGGAGTCCTCAGGTAATAAATAAGTACTGTAAGAGATGCAAGAGAGTTCCTTAGACATGATGTACAGAAATGAATTACTTGGGAATTTCTTCCTGCTCCAAGAGAAGTTTTTCTCAGAACTAGTTTCATAGATAATACCTCCACAGTAGGCAGAGTTGATGTATAGTTCAACTGTAAAGTAAATAGCCAGCAGAGGGAGCCCAGATTAATTTATGAATTGGATTACAAAAAGTACTGATCTAATGGCTAAACATATTAACGATGCTCATTGTGGAAAGCAAATAACACATGAGTAATGTGTTTGTGTTCGGTGATGGACTAGGGGGAAGGGAGATGTGTTTGAATATTTGAGTAAATGTTTTTCAACTTCTGCAAGTGAACTGTAAATAAACTGATGGATTGAAACCACTAAATCATTTCCTTTCAGAAGGCCTCTGCAAAATATAAATGATTCTTCACACATTTTGAGTTCTGATAAAGAATCACAGATGCCTCCCATGTTGTTGTTGTTGTTCCAAGTGTTACAGCAACTGTATGCTCTTGTTGATAATGAATCCATATCAGAATTTGTTCATAGAGCAGAATCCCACTTTTTTTCTCTGGCAGAATTCATCTCATGGTATTAGGAAGCACAGGTCAGGAGCGGCGGTCATTTGTTTGCTCGTGAAGTGAGGCTGGGCTCACTGCAGTGGCTTAAACAGCTGTAACATCCTTCTAACTTAGCTGCTACAAAACTCATTTGGTTTCATAAGACCTGTGGGAGGCTCTGTTTAAGAGCATAATTTTGATCACAAGCTATAATTTGTATTTGTCAGAGTGTGCGGGTCAGAGCAGGATACTGGTCTGCAAACAGGAGAGACAACTCTATTTAAGGAATGAAAAATCACTTGTCAGGTCCAGAAATTGATGAGGATGCTGAAACGGGCAGTCACATTGAAGTAGATGAGCAGCACAATCAGAAAGAGGAAAAAGATGGTGTTCAGTATTTTTTAAAAAGAATACCCAGTATCTGCATCTTTTTGCTAGTATTTATGAGAAACTGAGCATTAAAAAGGACAAAAAAGCAGCCAAAGAGCACAATAAGGAGAATGGTGTTTATTCTTACTGTGTTGCATTTTGAGCTGATATGTGATGAGGAAGATAATGAACTGAGGAGGACTGTGAGCAGCTATCGTAGATTATCGCAGAAATGAGGCAGAGGTGAAGGAAGAGAAGCAGGCTTTAATGTGTGAGAGTGGCATCTTAGCCAGAATGTTTATGAACTCCAGTTTCACAACACTTTCTCAATCAGAGTGGAATCTAAGTGGCATCAGAAATTCAGGTACCTCTGTTGTTTTAGGAGGCTTGTACAGGAGAGGTGGGTGATAGGAGGAGGACTGGCAGTGGAATGTATGTAGAAAATACAATCGCATGTACTCATATCTTTCTCTGCTTAAAAAAAAAAAGCATACTGCCTTTCTTGTACAGAAAGAGAGGTCTATGAACTAATGGTAGCTGTGATTGTACAAGTGTTAACAAAAAGTGATTGTTTTAGTCTGAAACGTATTAATAGAAAATAATACAGGAAGCAGTTGGTCATTTGTGTTGGTTCATTCTCTGGCTCATGGGACTGGAGTGAGGGGAGGCTCTTGCAGGAGTGGGTAAAGGTCAACTCCTTCAACAGGATACTAATGTGGGGGAGGACTGTAGAGTGCTAATCTCTTCAAGATTTTGCTCCTCTGGGTTTCAGTTTCGCAGAGAGAATGGCTGACCTCCCAAGTATGTATATTATCTCAGATAGAGAGCATTCTGCCATCCTGAGAGGAAGAACAAGGTTAAGGAAATGGAGCTGTTCCTTTATAGATGGATTTCAGAGAAGTATCTGTCCAACCTATTCGATGCACTTATAAAGGTTGTAATAGAGACTTAAAAGTTTTGTGCAGTAGTGGTTTTTTCTGTGTTTGATAGCCAGTAACAAAAATATTGTTCTTTTTTTTCTTCCAGGAAATGTTTTCCTATCTTTCAAGTGAGTTGAAGAAGTTGGCAGATATCCACAATGAGAGACTGCTGGATACACCGCATAATCCCATATCCTTAGGTAATTGTGGGGTTTTAAATCTTTAAAAAGAAATTCTAATATGGTGTGCATTCATAATGCACTTAACATATACATTTGCTATACATTAGGCATTGCACACTGCACTCCATTAAATTATTATAAAGCCAAGATGAAACCATTGAACCCAATAAGGTAACCTATTATAAAAGCAGAGCAGTAGGGTTGTGACTCAGGCCCCTTTTACAAAATTGCTCCTGTGCAACATAATCAATTATTGTAGTCAAGGCAGGCAGAAGATGTCAGCATGTTACTTTATAAATAAATAGGTTTTAAAATAAATTAGGATATAATTGCTGTACACATCATCTTATATTGTTGTACTACTCGGGATATTTGTTCTAACCAAAACTTCTGCTGAACACCAAAGTAATGTTACACCCCTGTGCAGGATCTCTGCCTTACCAGCTCAACCAAAGCAGCCCAACCAAAGAAGTAATCCACGCCAGTTTGTGGAAAACTGGAAATGCTAAAATGTAATATTTATGCTTATTTTTCTTTTGTACCTGAGCACAAATCCTTGGACAGGTTTTTATTGTTGGAAGACACCTTATCCACTGCGGTGCTTTTTTTTTTTTTTCCAGCCATGTCACTGAAGAATCTAGATGAAAATAATGATGCTGCTGTTACCCAGCTTGGATCTATGCTTTTTACAAGACAAGTTTCAGGAGCGAGGTGAGAATGCTGTGAATTTGAAAGTTCTGGGGAGTTGTATTAGGATTTCATAAAATATGTAATAGAATATTTACTTTCTACCAGTTGTCTCATGATTACAAACTTCAGTCTGGCAATTACAAGTCCAAAAGCATTATACCTTTCTTCCTCAGTATTATGTACTAATAATGTGTCTACCTGCCTGAGTTAGCAACAAGGCCTTCTCTTTTAGCTTTGGTGTACTAAATAGATAATCTATCCCCCTTTAGTGTCATTATTTCCTGGGACCCCTTGGTTTCATTTAGTTTCCAGCTGTTGTCTGATCTTACAGTTTGGTTGTAAGCTGCTTAGGAAAGATCTTTGTTTTGTTTATTGCAGCACAAATATGGTTGCTCTGGATGTCAGGGGAATAAGCTTTTAATACTCTGCTTAGCTTTCTGTCATATGGAAGAAAATCCTACTTTCTGGAACTAGCTATATTTAAAAGAAAAATTCTACAACTTGAGCCAGTCTGAGCTGAATTTATTCTTAGCGATACTGGTACATGGAAACATAAATCAAATCATTTGTAATGATTTTGGCTTAAACCTTTTAGAAGAAGAGAATGATTTAAAATTTGTTTTGGGAGAATTCCTTAATATGAACATTACTGCTTCCATGCCAGCTTCTGCTGTGGACTGAATGTGATTTTCTGTATCAGTGCTGATTGTTTCCACATCGGAAGGTATGCTTCATTAGGTTGGATTATTCCACTTTCTGCACATAGAAATGGCAGTAAATCTGTATGTTCTGTAGTTAGATGCTTTTTTTAATTCACCTTTCCCAGCCTTGACATGTCCTGCAGTCTAAGTTATCGCTGGCTGAGATTCCATATTTGAAAAGTTAAGGCTCTCCAACTCTTTGTCTGACTCAAAGGTTTCAGATTTTTCCTTTTATATGCAAGCAATTCTTTTGCAGTACATATACTGTTTGACATGGCATTTCAACAGATTTTAAACATTAGCCTTGAATTACATGGCAGTGGTGGCAATAGCAGCTCCCTGCATTGCTCATACACGGGCTTTGCCATAACCTGGCATTTGAGCACTTGGGCACGGAAAGGATGTGGCAATCAGAGTGGTATTTGTCTGAATACAGTTTCTTACATGAACTGTAGGGGCTGTCTCTGCAGGGATAACAAATTCTTATCAGTTGATTGGTGTTAATTGCTTGTGTAAGCTGTAACTGTAGCCATAAGGTGAGCTGTTCCTTGACGAAGGAAAGAGGTAGATTAAGGTTGTGGTTTATCAGGGAATGAATGTGTACCAAAAACCCTGAGAAATAGGGTGTTGTAGGTAGTGGTTCTTCCTATGAGGAAGAGGTAAAAGCAGTGCTGAACAGCATCCTTTTGAGATGGGAATAAAGATTGCCGTCATAGGATGAGGGAAAGGGGAGCTGTAATACCAAGGTATACATGTGAGGAAATTAAGATCCTGATTTGAGGGAGTAGACTGAAAGAGGAGGCAGAAGGCGGTAAGGAGTAGGTTTGGGAAGATACATAATGTCACGAAAGGATGGTAGACAGTGGTGCAAATGTAGTTCCAGCTACCTGGAAGGCTGAGCCCTGTGAAGCACTTGAACCCAGAAGCTTTGGGCTGCAGAACACAATACTGAGCAGATGTGTGCCCCAAGCCTGCTCCTAGCATGGTGACTGCAGAGGATGTCTGAGGAGAGATAGCATGTCTGATAGTTAGGTCTTGTTATGGAATAGAAGAGTTGGCTGCAGATGTCTTTCATGTCATGCTGAGGAGCTCATAAATGCCAGCAGAAAAGATGAAAATTTGGCTGAGGAGGTGAATGAATATTCACCTGTGCCCACAGACTTTATCTAATTGAGGATCTGCTAACCACTGTCAGTCACTGCAATCCTTAAGCACTAATTTGGAGAATACCCATTCCAAGCCCAACTACAGGAATTTGTTTAGCAGATATTATACTGCATAGACATCTGTGTAAATATGTTAATTGTAATGTATCACATAAAACTATTTAAGGTGTCTTGTAACTCAATCACAATTCTGTTTATTTCAGGGTTGTTCCTCGTGGGTCTGTGCAAACAGTGAATAACTACACTTTCAAAGGCTTTATGTCACATGCAAATGACTACTCCTGTGCTTACCTCAATGCTGCATCAGCTATTGGAATTAAAAAGCAAGATGTAGACATCTTCCTAAAAAGACTGGACAAGTGTTTGAAGGCTTCTAGGAAAGGGAAAGAAAGTGTGAATGAAACATGTACAGCTAACACAGGCACAGACCAACTTGAAGACCAGAAAGTACAGACATAGTAACAAAGGAAGATGCACTTTTGTTTGAAGTATGCAGGTTTGTACTGGACTAGCGCTGTGAATCTGAAGTGCAGAGAATTTGGTCCTGATCTGAAAAGAACACTGAAAAATTTTGGGGTGAAATTTAGGTTTAAAGGAAATAGGTGATTTTCTCCTATTCTCTCTTACAGGAAAGTAAGCATTTTGCACCATGTAAATGTACTTAATATGCCAAAGTAAAGCTCTGCATTCATAAAAGCCTTCAGCTGACCTGTCAGTCTGTGGGTGACTGTTGGGGCTTAAATATTCTGTGATATTTAAGCACATTTTGATTAACTAGATCTTCTGTAGCAGTGATTGAATTTCTTTTGTCTAGCTGTACAACCAACAAGAAATGTTTTACTGCTCTCAAAATGTCTTGCTTTTACTCAGCTTACTTTCTATTTTTCTTTTATTTCCGAAGATTTATATAGAAGTGTTGGGATAACCATTAGTAAATACAATGTTGAAATTGGATGAAGAAATTGTGGAGTTGGAATAATGGTCTTTTTAGGCACTCTTACCTCTCATGAGCTGCCTAGAACAAAGCAGCCCTCAGTGGCAAAGAACTTAGAATACCTAACATCCTGTCAGTACTCAGCTCTTGGAAACATTTGCATAGCTCAGCAACCCGAAGGAATTTTGAGGGAGTGCAGTGATGAAAATGTGAGGCAGTGGAGTGAGAGTTGCCCTCTGTATACATTTCATCTCTTCTTTGATAGTTGCTCATGAATAGAGCAGTCAGGTCAGAGATCCGCTCAAAAGGTGGAATGCTTTGTGGGATGACTGCAGCAGTTTCAAGATCCAATGAGACCAGAGGATGTTTTGGCATTTTTTAGCCCAGTGTTTTTAAGAGGTATAGACATCCGCTTCTGCACCTTCTCCTGCCATTGGCACTGTTGTCTGTGTTTGAATTCATTAATGGAACAGTAGATTCAGAGTCTGTTCCTGAAACAAAGGTTCCATATCACTGGAATGACAGTGCTGTAGGTTACAAAAATTTTTGTTAATTATTCTTGAATGTAATTAACACACTGTATGTAGATTTTTGTCATTTACTGTTCAAAGTGAGCTTAGCATTTGAATACATCTTGCTTTATTTGTAATGCAGTAATCCTTGGGACACCTCAGTTAATGAGTTCTTAATGTCAGGAAACATTCTCGTTACTTTGTTTTGTGGGATCTGAGACAGATATCCTCAGAGCCCTCTGCAAATTGCCTTATCAGTATAGATAGTGCTTTTGAAAGAATTGTCCCTCTGCTGTGCTCAAATGAATTTATACAAGAGGTGATGTTAATATGTGGAACTATTGTATGCTGGTTGCCATCGAGGTGGCCTGACTCAGTGAAGATCATTGTATCTTTAGCCTAGATTGTTACCCTTCAGGCCCATTAAGGCTTGTGGAAGTGAGGGCTCTCAGGAGTCAGTTGGTACTTGTTGTACCATCATGTCTTAAGAGAAAGGTAATGCAGCTTGACCACTGAGTCCTTGTGGCCATAACTAGATGTAAATATTGTTTTGTTTTGATCTGAGATGATGCTATACCAGTTTTTCTAGTCAGTAAAGCTCTCATTCAGCCTTGGGAGACAGAGCTGTGCAGCTCACCCTGCACTCAGCGTATTGGAGCAGCCAGTGAAAACCACAGGGCCTTAGTGATGCCTTTCTTCCTGTTTTGGGATATTGTTGTCTTGTGCTTGAATGAGCGTCAGTTAGTGATTTAATTGGTTATTGCAGATCACACATATTAGAGTTATTGTTATGAGAGCTTAGGGTGGTATGTGGTAGTAGCTACAATAAGGATTTGATAAGCAGTACCCTGAAACTGAAAACAAAGCAGCAATTGCCTTCTCTGAGAGGAAAAGACCTCTACCTTTTATGTTCCTGTAATAAATTGTCTGCTGCAAATAATTCACTCTCTTCTACTCTAGATTGAACTGCTTTCTCAGATAGTGTTTCTCCTGCCTTCAAAATGTTTCCCATTTGAAATCAAACATAAAAGTTTCAACACATCTCTCTGAACAAGTATTCAGGGAAAGAATTAAAGTGTTTCATTCTGATGCTGTGCTTTTAAACATTGTATTTTTCTAATTGAAAAACATTTTAAGATGAGACTTCTGGTTACTTTTTTTTTTTATTTTTTAACATTAGTGTCACTAGGGCTTTTCACAGGTCTCAGTGATGCTACCTGAAACCACACAGTTTGAAATACTTTGAAAATTGTGCCCATTGTGAGGTATGATCTCTTGAACTAAATATCAGTGTTATGTTACTTTGGTATGTTTTCTTTTACCAGTTCACAGTTTTATTTCCTTGCTTTGTTCCTTTAAGCGTGTTAAGCTGTAATGCATACTGAGTTTTTAGAGACAGAAGCATAATATAATGTCATCATAGTTATATTTAAATTTAAATAAATGGAGAAGAAATGGTTATTTATGACATACTTGAAACAGGAGATTCAATAGATAAACTTTGTATTTTTCAAGGAAGAATATAAGCCACTTATTCTCTATTCACTGATGTCTGTAATGAGGTAATAAAATAATACTGGAACACACAGCTATTGAGTCTTCATTTTCTTTATATAATACGGGAAGATTTCACGTCTGTGGCAGGTCTCAGCCACTAACAGCAGCACTGCTGAAAGATGGCAATAACTGGGGCGTAGCTTTGTCAACATATGAAGAGTAAAACAAATGCATTAGAGATATTTGCTTTCTGCGAAGGTCTTTCTGAGATTGCACAGTGAAGTAAGAAGTTCCTTGGCTCAAAAAATTAATTGTGCATCCTTTTTCCTGTCCTCTATATATGCATGTGACACCAAAGGGCTCTACGAGCCTCAGGGACCTGCCAGAGCCAGCATGTCATCTCCAGCATCCACTGTGCTATTGAGATGTTTAGGAAGACAGGGTGGGCTTTAGATAACACTTGGGGTTGTGTAGCAGGAATCCTTAGTAAAACTCTATGAACTGATGCCACAGTTACTAAGGCTGCATCTCAGCTGCTGTTTGTGAAGCTTCCTGTCTCTCATTGTAGGACACAGCATGTAGCTATCGGTGGTGAAACAAGAAGCAAGCACGTGAAATTTTCCAGAAGAATTTAACATCCAGAAATGTAGGAGGTTACTATTCTTGCTGCTGGTTTGTTGCTCTGCCAGAAGTTACTGCCCTGTAGCAGGGGCAGCAAAGTCTGCTTGGCTGCTGCCACAATTCATACCGTTGGAACAACTGCTGAAACTGAGGTGTGTTAAAGTGAGCACTGAGGGTATGAAAAACTGTGCCTGTGAAGCAGGCATGTTTCCTGTTGTATTTCTGCAGAAAACAAAGATGCTGATACCTGCTTCTGAATAACCTTTTGTACCAGAGCAGGGTGTGTGGGTGGGCAGGAACCCCTCAAAGTCCTGCAGTTTGTGTCACTGAAGTGACTTGTGCCTCCTAAGATGCCTGTAGTTGTTCTGTGAGATGCTTTTCTTTCCCTCTGATGTTATGTCTTAAACTGTCTGGATCTACGTAGGTGAAATAAATGAAGGAGCAGATGGACTTGCCTTGTAAAAAATAGCACTGGGAAAATACAGTGTGAGCAAACTGACACTGAATGACCCATCTCACAGACCAGCACTTCGTTTACTTTTGTAGTGTCTGAGATAATGAACAAAACTAAGGACTATTTGAGCAATAATATTGCCCATTCACGCTTCATTCGTAACGATTGCCTCAGATACAAAGCAAATAAAAGCTACCAGATGCAGCAAATTCTCTTGAGCCTAAGAAAGCAAAACTGTAATGTTGCAAATGTAAATGCTGGCATTGCAGCTTAATACACGTATAAACCGAGCGATCTATATTGTGCGATCATCATTTTTTAAGAAAGGCTGGAGCCCAGAGACTACCAAATGTTCTCATCTGCAGTGTATCAGCAGTTCTCAGTCTTCAGCTGCTGTATAGATAATAATTCTAATTGAAGAATCATTACACGAATCCATATGCGAGTGAGAGATGGGCTATAGCCTTTTGTTCAAGATGCTTTAAAAATTGAGTTGCTGTTTTCACTTTTTATGAAGGGTAATTAGATTGCCTCATTTTTTTAAAATGCAACATTTTAATCAACCTGGCTTGGCAGGGCTTGGAATCTGAAGGAAAAATAATCGATGTAACTGACAATTTTTTTAAACAATAGCTATTTAAAGGCTTGAATTGGTTACAAAGTGACTTTCCTCAGAGAGAACCTTTATTCAGATGGCTTAAATTTTGAAACCAGTGCTTGAAAAATTGTGCTGTATGTGCTCTGCAATAATAGTTTTTCACGTATTATGCTTTTTCCCCTCAAACATAATGACATTTTAGTGGTTTAATAATGCCATTTAAAAATTCTAGTTAAAAAGGCATTTGCTCTGTCAGAGTTACTCATCAAACATCTGCCATATCAAATCACCAGTAGTAGATTTATCTTGATGGACCAGCTCCAGTGTTTTGAACCAGTTTCACTATAACTGGACCAAGCTTACATTACTCCTTTTGGGGTCCTAAAATCAAGTTCACAAACAAATAAAGCATGTTTTGATAATTCTATCTGCTGCTCAACAGTAGACTTGAGATTGAAATCAAAGCTGATCCAGTTCAGGAGCTGAATTGCTTTCTTAATGTGGATGGTGAAACTTAATTTGCCTTAGATCCAGCCTGAGTCTGCTGTAGCAGAATTGTAACTGCTTTTATTTCTTTAACCTAACATGATGAATAGAGGGAATAGAGCTGTTCCACCAGGGCGCTGCCTCTCCTATTACTCTGTCTTTTAAAGAGCTTCAAAAATAGGGCTGCTACACATTATTACTTTTGGTCTTTTGCTGGTTGAGGTGGGCAATTGGTCTTGGACAAACATGGAAAGTAGGTGGGTGCATATTCTGTCTCTAGGCATCCCAAGTAGGATCACACCAAATTACTGGTGTCATGGTACATGCCAAATTCAGGACAAGCATGCAGTGTTTCTACTGATCCATTCTTTCCAAAAGCTGCATCTTAGGCGCATTTCTTGTGGCAGAAAAGTGCCAAAAGAGCACATGGCTCAGAAACAAGTGGAAGGATTTTGGAGGTTTCTAGATTGGTTGTGTTTGACTTCTGCTATGCAAGAAGTTCTTCATGCTGTGTCAGCTCTATTAAAATGTTTGCAGCTACTCTCATCCCTTACCTAAGTGGTTTTGTACTGGGGCTCAAATGCAGTGGCGAGG